ATTATGTTCTTTTGATATTTTTTAATAATAGTAATAAAATATTGCAATCATAAGAAGTTTTGTACTTTTGTGAAAAAAAAATGAAATTTTAGAAGATTTAAATGATCTGGGAGTGGTAATGCTATAAAACTTGCTCATAGCACTATGTAACATGCTTGTTTCATTCTTTGTTCTATATTGGGTGATTACCAACATATGCCCAGCAACATCATTTCAAGCGTTAACCTTTCATATCTTGCCATTCCTTGCACATCCTATGGCTATGTGATTAAATGGCTTTGACTATTTCTTCCATGCTTTCACCAGAAGTCAACTTTATCATTTATTAAAAGGCTTTTTCCAAGGTCATATCAGTAGGTGTCCTCCTGACTAAGTAACATGGCCAGAGGAGATTTCCGTCGCATTCAATTCTAATTATTAATGTTTTTGGATGTATAAGACAACAAGAGTATATGGAAAATCCCCAATTATGACACTGGCTCGTTTCTGTAATATAATATTTTCTATTAATAATAATCTTTAAGATCTTACACAGTACAAAAAAAGTCACTTAGCTTTATTATCTAAGGAATAAGATTTGCTTCAGGTCATGAACAGACATTATAGTGGAATAATAAAAACACTTCACATACTTAAAATTAATCTACTCTATCAGACTGGTCTTTCCAACACGGCGTTATGCGTCCAAGACTTTTTTTTCTGATGCAAAAAGTGAAAATGATGATAAAAAAGAAAGATTAACCCCTTAAGGACACATGACATGTGTGACATGTCATGATTCCCTTTTATTCCAGAAGTTTGGTCCTTAAGGGGTTAAACAGAATAAGTACACAATATAAATACTGTCAACAACACAAGATTTTGAAGTCGGCTTATTATCCTTGAATGTAAGCTCTGAATTTCCCACAACTAATGTATAGATTAAAGAATTGTATTTTTTTGACCAGTAACGAGACGCACGCAGATTCACAATCCGCTGTTTGCTGTTAAACAGTGCTTTATCTACCGGAGGCACAGTCAGAAATGTAAATGAAATATCATTAGATTAAAATGGATTTTGCTCTCCATACTATGTAGCATAGCTGAAAGCGGTTTTAAAACTTAAGGGATAAAAATAATAGAACTTCCCTTTAACCTTGGGGTTTCTACAGGTTCATATTTCAGCTCATTTAGTGCTGTTTCTGAAAGTGGTCTTTCTCAGTGCTGTCTCCAAGATGTAATAACCTTTAAAATCTACAAAGAAGGCATTGCATGAGCATTATCTCAGTATTACAGACATGCTCAAGGCAATGGTTTGCCTCCTAGAACCTGCTTCTTAGAGTCTGTTGGTCATGGCTATGAGTATATATTTTTTATTGAATGTTTGTAATTGTTATTAGTGCAGATAATCATTATCATCATGGAGATCTGAAATGTACCGCCAGAATCCAGAATGTCCTGTTAGTATTAGACCTGTTATTCAGATGGTCCAAACGGGGGTCCTATATTATGGAAAGTGTATTATTCAGAATGCTTTAGCATGGACACATATTAAAGGACCACTCTAGGCACCCAGACTACTTCAGCTTAATGAAGTGGTCTGGGTGCCAGGTCCAGCTAGGTTTAACCCTTTTTTTTATAAACATAGCAGTTTCAGAGAAACTGCTATGTTTATAAAGGGGTTAATCCAGCCTCCAAATCCTCTAGTGGCTGTCTCATTGACAGCCGCTAGAGGCGCTTGCGTGATTCTCACTGTGAAAATCACAGTGAGAACGTGCAAGCGTCCATAGGAAAGCATTACAAATTACAAATGCTTTCCTATGAGACCGGCTGAATCTGCGCGCAGCTCCTGCCGCACATGCGCATTCAGCCGAAGTGGAGGAGAGGAGGAGGAGAGCTCCCCGCCCGGCGCTGGAAAAAAAGGTAATTTTTAACCCTTTCCTCTCCCCAGAGCCAGGCAGGAGGGGGCCCTGAGGGTGGCAAGTATGTTTTCCTGGCACTATAGTGGTCCTTTAAGGCATCAGAGTATGAAAATGATTCCCATGTTAAGTCTTGTATTTGGGATTGCACCAGCAAAATCAGAATATCCAAGACATTAGGCCCACTTCATTGCTTATGAATAGGTATTTATGTAAATGAGGAAATCATTTTAACTAACATAAATACTTTTATTACAAAAAAAATTCAGAGCTTACATTTTGAACGGTAATTCATTTGTTTTATTTCTTTGGAGCTCTGAGGAACACCACATATATTTCAGAAAAGAAACACTACAGAAGAGAGACAAACTGATTTAGGGCTTAGAAATTAAAGCCTTAGGGTATAAACAAATAAAAGCAGAGGAGGATTAACCTTAGGGGGCAGCCTAGGGCCCAGCATGCAGACACGGGCCCCATAATAATGCATTTTCTTGGCCTCATTCACCATTCCAATGTGAAGAGTGGGGGCACAAACTAGTTACCGGCATGGCCCCTTGGGACCTTAATGCTTCTCTGAATAAAAGGATCACTTTCAGACTGGGGTAGGCAACCTTCAGCACTTCAAATGAGGTGGGTTATATCTCCCATAATACCCTTACAGCCATAATGCCTGCAAAGCATCAGGGGAGATGTAGTCCACAACATCTGAAGTGTCGAAGGTCCCCTGGTTTAGGACTAGGATGCTGTTTGGCATTAAAATGTGTGTGGAGTCTATCTAACACATTTCAGGTTGTGGAGAGATAACAAGCAATGAACAACGTTTAGGCAAAAATAGCAAGTTTAAAAAAAAAAAATCTCTGACTCACCCAGAGCAGTCATATTTCAAGTGTTATTTTTGTCTCAAATATTGTAAATTTGCCGTGAGCTCACCAAGCTCTATAACCATAACAATTAAACTTAGCATGTGTGTATTAATAAAATATTTCAGCATATACAATTACTATTGAAGACAAGTCCCCCTTGCTCAATATGTGTCCATTGGTTATGTGTTATTTAAACCATTGGTATTGAGAAAGTTAATGAAAGGTATACAATGTATTGCTCATCTCCTGGCCTACATAGAAGAAGCTTTATTGTGTACTCTGCTCACTGGGTTATTTATATAGAGCAATTGTGAACCACAGTTTTAATAGTAGAACAGTTAGTAACAACTTTACATTGTGTTAGTGGCAATTGCCCACTTGTAGAACTTTGAACCAGAATTTCGTCTTATAACTTATAACTCTCTTTATCACATACCCTACACATAATACATTGTATATAAAATAAATACACTGATTTCAGACTTTCCTTAATACCAGAATTATTGTTCTTTTTTAAGACTATTGATTGCTGAAGAATGGTGCACAGAAGGATACAATGTTCACAAGTCACAAAGGAGAGACACAATCAATGGAATACTTGACTTGTTTTTGTCCATCAACATGTGGCTCTCTGGGGGGCTTTTTACGGCCAGATGCTTCTATTTCAACTGGATATATAAACTGTTAATGTCATATGGTAAACTGGCAGGTGAACTTAGAGATATTCGACTAAGCTTGCAATGCTGGAGTATTGAAATCAAGCAGGTGACTATATCAAATGGAACAATATCATGTTTCATGAATAATTTAGGCAAAAAAACATGGGTATGGTACTGTATACGAATGGAATTGTTCTAGATATTCTTTGGAACACTGTAGCATTAAGTACCAAACTATGTATTCCTAATGCTACAGTCCCCTAGTCACCGTTTAGGTGATGGGTTAAAAAAGGTAGTTAACTCACCTCCTGGGAGACAGCTACTAGAGGAAGTCTTAACACTCCAATGTACACACTGTAATAAGACTATGAAGCAGGGATTGATCCAGTTGATATCCAGTTTACATAAACTAATACTAAGAAAAAAAATTTTTACAGAACACAATGAAAGCGCCTATGATGATGAGTTATTATGTAAAAATCAACCAAAGGCAAATACTGACTGTAACAAATTATTCTGGATTTGCTTTTGAGAGACTCATTTGGACAGCGATAGTATAACCTAGCCATTAAACACTCATCATTTTTTAAACAAAATAAATAAAAACAAAACAATAAATAGTGAATTGTGCTCTAAATAAATAAATCTACATACTTATATTCATGTAGTATTTGACTCACATTTTTCTTGCAATTATTAAGTAATATCTAAATGACGATATAGCAATAATAGTGCAATAATGTTGTGTAGATGGATAACTGGAAGAACATTTGGAGTCAAGCAATATATTAAAGTAAGTAATACAGGTTTTGATAATACTAGAGAATGTTTTCCACTGGGTTTTGTTGCAGCTTATTCACATTATTAATTTTATTAAAAAACATTATCCCTCATTCCACATTTCTCTTCCTTCTCATCTATTCTAAACTCCCTTACAACCCCTAGTCTCAGAATATCTATCCTACCGATGATAACAAACAGATCTTTAAGAAGGTGACACTGAATTGTTGTTTGCTGCAGATCATTGAACCTTAATCTCTTCCCCTTGGCAGTCAGTTAGAAAATTAAGAAGTGTGCCTGTATTTGATCTGTTAATAATCTCTAATTATGAATGGTATGTTAACAATTCAAAAGGAGGTGTAGAGAGAAGGCTGACTTTTTCCACGTTGTTTCCAAATCCATTTTCTGCGTACTTAAAGTCATTTCAAAAGACAACCATAAAAAATATGTCACCATGAAAGAAACCTGAACTAAAATTGGTTAAAATACATCAAGGAACAAAATAATCTCTCTAATTTTTTTCAATATACCCATATTAAAAATACACTAATTGGAACTATTGGAGTAAAATGATGATGATACACTCACACAGACACATTCCAATTGACATTTTAATTATGCACTAAGACAGACACCTATAGAAAAATAACACAGATACTCCAGGTACTCCTGGAGTAAAATGATTATACTCTTACACAGGTACCTCAAGGTGACATTTTATTGTCACATTGGCACCTCTGAAATTAGATCTGGTTGATACACTCACACAGGCTCTTCTGCAATTAACAGTGGATGCACAGATTGCTAGCTCCTCCATAATGATTTATTAAAATGTGGCAAAAGAGATAGAACAATATTAATCATGCTGTTAGCAGTTTCATATAAATGATTAAAAGAACACTCTAAGCACCAACACAACTGCACCTTAATATAGGAGTTTTGATGCTGTCTGGCAATCCAGTTTCTGGGAAATGGCAATGTTTACATTTTGCCTGAAACAAGCATTTAGTGGCAGTCAGGTTAAAACCTCTAAAGGCACTTACTCCTCATAGGAACACTCCAAGCGAATAAAAAATATATGTAATTAGAATTTAGTAGCTATACCTCCAATGAAAACATGCATGTATTTAATAATGCATTTTACCTAGAAACAGCTGCTTGCAAAAAGCTGCAGATCTCTTGTCTGCAACCTTTGGAATCCATCCCATTCTTCCTCATCCAATGCGTTCTGTGACTGTCCAATCACAGACTTCCAAGTGCTCTGGGCAATTACCTGCCTCTAGAGTTTAGCTCCACTGAATTAAATAACCAGGAAGTAACAGGACCAGCTGTCTGATTGCTAGCCAGGGATATAATAAGGTATATTTATAAAAATGCCAATTTCTATTGAAGTTTGCATTTTTTGTAAAATGAAAAAAGAGGACACAATCTTCACATGCTAAAGTGCTTCAAGTGTGTCAAATGCCACTTTAAGCTTCTCAAAGATTTTAACATTTTGCATCATCACTCACAAAATGGAATATTTATTCTTAATGTTAGATTGTTTAATAAAAAATTTAAAAAAGAAGCAGTGCTTAACTACAGCAGCATACTTAATTTGAGAAGACACAATTGTTTGCTTTGTAAGAGTTAATTTTTAACTAGCTTGCGCAGTTTGGTGAATATTATATATAGTGTAGGTCAGGAAGATCCATAACTTATTATGTCTTGGTATAGGGGGCGAGGGCTATCCACTAAAGTGTACATTTTAAGTCTAAAATGCTTAACTGGAAAAATTCTACAAGTCATCTGTTTTCAGTTCAAGCACATTTCCTTAACAAATATCATCACTGTCTCCACATGTTCTGCCTACAATTTTAAAGAAACTTTAAATAAACTAATGAAGATTTCACAGAATAAGGAGACACCATAGACATGCCAAGAGTAGTCTTTTTATGTCCAATATATTATGACACTGTTGTCATGAAAGGATCAGTTGCTCTGCAACAGATAAATATTGAACTTTCCTAATGTTCTTCCATCTCAAAGTTTTATTAAGGAAAATGAAAGCTAAATAAATCTACTTGCAGCCTTACACTAAAACGTGTCTGCCCAATCCTCAGCTTAGAACTAACATTTATATTTATAGCAAGCATTAAGAGGGAATGGCTCATACCAGCTAAGCCAAAGTTAGTTAATAGTTTTTATTTCTGTTGAATAAAAACTATTTTTGTTATTTTTCAGTTTGCTTCAAATACAACTCTGTTCTTGTAGTTTTTGGCATCCAATGCAAATTTAATATTTCCCACGATCCCTTGCACATTGATTATCGCTCATATGCATGTAGGAACTCATGGCGAAAGTATGCACGGACTCATGAATGCACATGGGATCTCAGGAAAAGACCTGAAACAGAAGAGTGAAGGTATAGAACCTTTATGTTTACCTCCACTGCGCACCTCACCCCACTAACATTTACTCAGGTGAGCAAAGGAAAATTGTAAAAAAATAAAAAAATAATGTGAAATCTACTTATGGACAAGTCAATAGCAGGTAGAGTTAAAAAGTCTCCTTGTCATACCATTGACTTTTTAAATAGTGAAACTGATTCAAATGATTACATATACTATATCCTGCACATTTCACATAACTCAGTAAGAGCTAACCCATATGTGCTATATTTAAAGGAACATTATAGATTTAAAGGACGAGTATAGGCACCCAGACCACTTCAGCTTAATGAGGTGGTCTGGGTGCATGGTCCATCTAGGGTTAACCCTTTTTTTTATAAACATAGCAGTTTCAGAGAAACTGCTATGTTTATGTTAGGGCTAATCCAGCCTCTAGTGGCTGTCTCATTGACAGCCGCAAGAGGGCTTCCGCATTTCTCACTGTGAAAATCACAGTGAGAAGACACCAGCGTCCATAGGAAAGCATTGTGAATGCTTTCCTATGGACTGGCTGAATGCGCGCGCAGCTTCTGCCGCGCATGCGCATTCAGCCGAAGAGGAGGAGAAGAGGGAGGGGAGGAGGAGGAGAGCTCCCTGCCCGGCGCTGGAGAAAGAGGTAAGTTTAACCCCTTCCTCTCCATCCAGCCCAGAGGGAGGGGGACCCTGAGAGTGGGGGCACCCTCAGGGCACTATAGTGCCAGGAAAACGAGTATGTGGTCCCAATAAGTGTTTATCCAACTAAGAACACATCATGCCATGATGGCTACAAAGTGACCTATCACAGCGGCGATTATAGGATGGCTTCCTGACTTCTTATTCTATTGCACAGAATATCCAGGATAATGCAGGAAGCTCCATAGTGTAGCAAATTAATATCCGAATAGCAACATTTAGGCTGAAACAGCTGATCTGGAAAAAAAATCTCCAACTCAGATGTAGTCTCAGCTTGTGATTTATCACGATACCATTTCAGTGTAGTAATAACTATGTGCAATATGGTCAGGCAGGTAAACATATACCTTGTTTATAGAATGGGATTACTGTGTACTGGATACAATAATTGGTTAATACTTGCTTAATGTTTGTAAATTAAAGAAATTCTAGCACAGTGTGACAACAGACCCCTACCATTTCAGTCTCAATATACATTATTATTATTGTTATTATTATTATTGCCATTTATATAGCGCCAACAGATGATATAGTGCTCTACAATATTATTAGAGGGGGGATTAAACTATAAATAGGACAATTACAAGAAAACTTACAGAAACGAGCTTACAGCTACATCACTTAGAATGTTGTGGCCGGGGTGTGTACAATGTAGTTTGGTTAATTTCCCTTCTTCCTTTTGTTACAATTTTTTGAATGGCTCTAACAACCTACTTCGTACCCCTACTTTTACCCTTTGTGTCACTATACCCCACTCCCTCTAGAATGTATGATCATTAAGCAGGGTCCTCCACCTCTCTGTTCCTGTATGTCCAGTTGTCTGGTTACAATTACATGTCTGTTAGTCCACCCATTGTACAGCGCTACAGAATCTGATGGCGCTATATAAATAATGAAATAATAATTACAAAAATTTATAATATTAACGTTTTTAGGTTTTCCTCTATTCTCCTTTTATTTTATTTTTTAAAGCTTGTTTTTTTTCTGCCTATGTTTTGCCATTTGGATTGCAATGCATTACAGTCCAGAGTTTAGTAAATAACCGTATATGGTGGAAATGCTGTGATTATGACTTTACAGCAAGGCCTAAAATCATGTGTAAATGGATTGACAAGTGATTCAAAGTACCAACATTTAACAGCCCTTTCCAAATCTGTCAGATTTAAAGCCCTGCTCCACTCACATTTCCCAGCTGTTTCGACTTTAGTACATACGCATACATGTCACATTCTCCCTTACATGCAGTGTCTACAGACACATATGCAATTTAGCTAATCCCAAAATTCCTGTAATGTAAGAAACTCCGTAGGAAACTCGTTATCTGAACCTGGTCTAGTTACTGTGTAACCACAGCCTGATAAGAAAAAGCCATTTACCTTTGGGGTCAGTTTTTAAGTTTAAAGGTTCAAACAGAATAATATTTCCGTGTTTACTTTCATTTCCATTGTTCAGCCTGTTTAACCGTAACAGTGTGCTACTCACTGCTTCTTATTCAGACCCCCAAACACATTGCTGCACTAATCAGTTTTATTTATCCCACCGGTTCTGTGCAGACGCAGACACAGCATGCGTTGTATTTTGTTCATGGGATCCTTCAGCTCTTTACTTGTCTGCTCTATAGTGCGACAAATCCCAAGGTAAAAAAAAATTAAAAAATACAAATTTCCTTGTTACACGGCATTCGCCGGCCACACAGAGAGTGATCGGAGTGTTCCAGAGCAACTCCCAGTCACAGATTAACTCTGTCGTTGCCTCACCGTGATACCAGACACACAATGACTATAGAAACGAGGAGAGAGACATTTGAACACATTACCTTCTTTCTCTGTTCTGTTTCCGTGATTTGTGCAGCAATCCAATCAGAACCACAGCTGCCCTGATCCCAGCTTTTTTCGAATGCATTCTCTCCGTTGGCTGTGACATAGTTACCAGACCCAAGTGCCACTGTCTCCAAAGGGAAAGTAACCAAACCTCAGCATGAAATTTAGCAAAACTGACTTGCCCCTCACCCCCGTCCCCACTTTCTCTCCCCTTTCCTTTAGTTGAGATGTTTGCCGTATGATTGTGATTATTTAGAATGTTGAGATAGGTATCTTTTACTCTAGTGACCTTCAAGTCACAAGTCACCGCCACCGTCCTCTTCCAGATGGGACTCCAACTTCAGGCTTTCCTTTGTTTTTCCTTAATGCTGGGTCTGCCAGTCGAAAGAAAAATAACAGGAAAGTGACTTGTAAATAGCAGTCTAAGTGCTGCAGCCTTTGCTACAGTCACCAGCTCATCCCAGTGAGAAAAGCTGAGCTGTGGCTCCACCTGAGGACCCAACGCAATGTCTCCGAGGGCTGTGATTCACAGATATTCCAGTACAAGTTTTATCTCAGAGACCAGAGAACGCCGAGGACTGTGAAGGTGTGATTCTGCTTTCCAGATCCATAATTTGCTAGGAGACAAAAACACATCCAAACCCAAAGCTGACTAGGAACGTCATGAAATCAAATCCCATGGGAGAGAGGGAGATAAACCAAACACACTTGCATACAGGAAAGAAAGAAAGAAAGAAAGAAAGAAAAAAAGAAAGAAAACAATAAAAAGCAATGCCTTTGGGCTTGTCCTGCACCTGCTGGTTAAAATATTAACTTTCACTTGCAAGAGGATGCTGAGTGTGTGAGGTAGGCGGTGGACTGAGCATCTTTGGCTGCACACACTGGGGGTAGTAGGATCTGCAAGGTGGGTGTTACCAGGCAGTTCACTTCCTCCTCGCTTCTCATTCTTTCCCCAGTGGCTGCAGAATGCTGGGGCTGAATTTGGTGACACGGAGCAGCGAAGTCTGTGTGGAGTTGTAAAGACCTGACCGAGCATCTGAAAAGACAGCAGCATACTTGGTATGTCAGTGGATGAGACAGCGTATAGATTATACGGAGGAGGGCGGGTACCATTTCACTTAACCCTATAAGCAAGTTCTAAAGAATAGAACTACACATACGTGTGTAAATATCTCTAGATCTTTAAGAAAATCTATTTAAATAAACCCCTCTCTTTCTCTCTCTCTCTCTCTCTCTCTCTCTCTTTATATATATATATAGATATCTAAAATATAACATACAAGATCCAGCGCACTCGCTCAGTCATTAAACAGCGATTTCAAATCTCACAGAATAGATTTATTTAAAAAGGCAAAAATAAATAATATATATACATCTATCTACATATATACATACATAAACGTACACAATACATAAATATACACAGGCACACACACATATATATCTTATTCTAACAAGCATGATGTTGCAATTTAGGAAAGTATCTGTAAAAATAGATACCTGCAGATTGAATGCAGGATTAGTGTATATTAGATGCATTAAAAACACTGCTTACCAACAAACTACAAGGACATCTGCATTTCACATTCCATAAAATAAAAAAAATACATTAAAAAAATAATAATCCTGTATTATTTCATCTAATGCTAAGATTCTCCAGCAATGCATAAACTGTACTAATATAACATTAGCTGCTGCAAATGTTTTCATTGCAACTACGTAACTGTGAACAAAAGCTTTTTTTAACAGGCGGTTCAGTTAGCCTGTCATCAAAATGGATAGCACAGGTTTTGTCTTCCAGCTGCTATAGTGTATCTTATTTAAATGGAATTACTGCAGGATAGAAAGTAATATGGGATTGGGTAACATATCTCTCTGTTCTGGTGTGGAATTGCCAGTTTAAAATCTGTTGTCACTTGGTTTCCTATTCCACTGCAACAACATCAAATAGACTCCTTAAAATGGAAAGGTAGTAAAGCACCTGTCACCCAAGATATAGACAAAAGGGTGGGGGGGGGGGGGTTGTATTTATTGACAGGTGTACACTGACACACAGACACTCCTACATAGATTCACTTACATATGAAGACATTGTGATATACACAAAGACATACACTGACAATGACGTGTACACAGATATGGTTACATAGGCAAATATTAAGACATACACAGATACACAAGAACAGTCATACATGGACTCAAACTCACACACAGACACCATTTAATACACATCGATAGACACACACTAACACATATATACTAACACTCACACCGCTACATAGTACCACACGTGCACAAACGCTAATATTCCTATGGTTGTAGTATCTACTGCATGTCCAGATAGAGAAGGAATGGAGAGTATCTGAGCTGCTCTCACTGTGTTACATTGGGGAAGCAGGAGAGCTTTGCATGGATGTCAATCCAGGCACTCAAAATGTCATTCCACTAATATAGAAGTGCTGTTGAAGTCCCTGGTGGTGTAAGAGCCGTGATCAAGCTTCCATCACATAGTCATCCTGAGCATGCTGTGGGCACCCAGGATGCCTCTCTCAGAGCCAGAGCGGGATTAACTATAAGGTCACCGTACGCAGCCGTCTAGGGACCCAATTTAGAACAGAGGCCCTTTAACAAAGAATTTGCTCATGGCCCCATTTATCATCCGTATATGAACAATGAATGGGGACCCAGTACTGGTAAGTTGCCGAGGGCCCTGTGGAAATCTTGACCCTCACACCCATGTGGCCCATTACAGCACAAGGCTCAGAGGCATAGCCCCACCACTCACCCCACCCAAAGGGCAGGTCTCTGCTAATCTGAGCCCAACAAACTTGGCTGAGCATCATGGGAAATATAGATTTACAAACATCAGAGTTTCCAAGGTTTACAATCAGTGGTTTAATTGTTTAACAGTCCATATGAGTCAGGGGCCTTATTCACTAAGCACTGAATTGTAGCAAATTGAATTCTGAATTGCACAGTTTAGGCATAAGTTGCTGCTTAGGAAATTTTGCTATTTCGTTTTTAGTTCACTGCAATTCGTTCCTATAAATATACAGATGGCTCCTATATTCCACAAAACGTATTCGAAAGATATATAGAAAATATTCCCTGTGAACACGTCCCCTGAAAGCTAATGCCAAATAGTTTAGTTGTTTTATGTACACAGTTGACTGATCGCAGGTGACACTCTTAAATGTGGATGCTTTACTATTGTAAAATAACCGCACATTATGCATTCACATTACCTAAAGGAATACTCCAAACACCAATTGCTCTGTAGTGGTTTAATTTCGGTAGATCCCTGACATCCCCATATTCTAAGCAGTCAAACTGTTTTAGAATGGTTTGACCTCTTACATGTGCCTCCTTTCAACGCTAGGCCCAGTGGTACATTGCTTCGCTCATTAACTGAGAGCAATCAGCTAACACTTTCAGCCAATGAGCCTAATGGAAGCTTCTAAGCGGTTAACTCCAGGTAAAGTTAAACAATTCTAAAATGGAGTGGTTTTGGTGTTTACAGTGTTCCTGTAATGGTAACTAAAGAGGGGATAACACATCTATAAATGTTTAGCACAACAAGCCCTTGTTACTGACAGAGTTAATCATATGCTTCTTTTAATCACGCTGTTACACCTCGGTGGATTGCGTTAGAATGATAAAAATGAATGGCGCTGGTGGTCTGATGTTAATCAAATTACACTGAGAGAGAAATGTTGCTAACCTTTAAACAGATTACAGATCTTTAAAAAAAAACCTGCAGAGTGGGGGCTGAATGGGAAACAATGGTCACCTATTGAAATGTTTTTGTTATAGGAAGAAAGTGTACAGATGGAAGTCTAAGGAAGGTCTGTGAGGAGTTTGGAACAATGGTTAATTGGGGGCAATGTGTACAGACAACAAAAGAGCCAGCATAGTATTCAGAGGAGCTTTAAATAATACCTTTTCTTTTAGCACAAGTAATTTTGCTTTTCAAATGTATTGCACGTCTATCACAGTTGTCCTTCCACCTTGAACGAGATATCAAAGCTATGGCGCAAAACAGGAAGATAGCACACAAAGAGGAAAATACTGCAGTAAGACGAAAAATGAGAAAAGAGCCAAACAGTGAACTGTCATCATAACTTGACAAATTCATTTTAAAATTTAAGAAAATAATTAGCCAATTTGGAATAATTCTGCAATTCATGTTATTCCTCCCCTGTTCATTTGACTTCAGTTTTATTGTGAATGCAATCATAAGTCGAGTTAATGCAAGGTAATTATGATAGAAAAAAAAAAAGGTATAAATAATCTCTCCTTCTGTTGAGCAGGAAGCGATAAAGTCTGTGTATCAGTGAGATAAACAACTTTATTCATAGTAATCTGTGAGAACACCCACTCCTGAAACGGGTTCTGTGTTACCATGTTGGACAATCAAATCAGGCGTTGGTATCATGCAATATAAATAAAATACAATCTAATTTTTTTTTCTATAGAGCAGGTTATACAGCCTACATAACAGAGAGGAAGGTAACCTCACACATTAGTTTAAATTAAAGGTATACTACAGGCACTATAACAACTTTAGTTTAAAAGACCACTCCAAGGTAAAACTATTGAGGGAAAGCTCAGCCTTGTAGAATAAATTGGCGCAATATAAATGCTTACATTAATAACAGTTGTTTAGTAGATATTCCCATGATGAATTAGTGCATTAATTCTTCCATATATGTATTCATTTGGGAATATATTAAAAGAGCTTTCAAAAGCTGCAGTTCTTATTAATTGCAGCCTTTGTGAGCCCTCCCGTAACGGTCTCTATCACCTATCGCCTGTCATCGAAACTATGCACCCATTAACGCTGCTCTGAGCTAAGGTCTGAGAGGAGGTATGTGGTGAGAGGCAGGCACACTCATGTAGAGTGCACCTGCCACATCGGTTAGCTCAGAGGAGCTAACAGAAGCAGGAAGAAACCTCCCTGACTGTTTGGTTGACAGCCAGGGGTTGTTTCAATAATTTAGTATAAAAGTAATATAAAAAAAACACATTGACAAAGATAGTTTGGGTCATAAACAGACATAATTCTCTCTTTGCTGTATAGCCCCATGTTTTATCTGGCAGTTACAATAACTACCATACGGTCTGCAAATCTCCTGAGTTCGGGTGTGGGATACCAGCAGATGAGAGCATGATTTGAAGGGACTCTACAGTGCCAGGAAAACAAATCCGTTTTCCAGGCACTGCATAATCCTGCAGTACCCCCCTCCCTCCCACCTCCCCAACCCATGTTGCTGAAGGGGTTAAAAACCCCTTAGTGAAGCGCTGGATCAGGTTCCGTCCACACTCCACCCCACCAACATCAGCTGGCCGGGGAGACCTAATGCGCATGCGCGGCAATGGCCGCACGTGCATTAGACCTCCCGATAAGAAAGCATTATTCAATGCTTTCATATAGGGATTCCAGCAACGCTGGAGGTCCTCATGCATAGCGTAAGGATGTTTTAAGAAGCCGGAAGTCCCTCTAGTGGCTGTCTGGTAAATAGCCACTACAGGAGGACTTAATCCTGCAATTTAATTATTGCAGTTTATAAAAACTGCAATAATTACACTTGCAGGGTTAAGGGTGATGGGAGTTTGCACCCAGACCACGCCAATGGGCAGAAGTGGTCTGGGTGCCTGGAGTTCCCTTTAAGGTTTCTAGTTCCATTGATTATAGATTACTGGGATCCTTCAGTTTACTCGCAACACGTGTCCTCTGGTAGACACCAAAGAATGAGAAATATAGAAAACACATCCTGGAGTGGTGGGAATGTCTCTCCCTCTCGCTCGGAGCTTCACCAAGGAGGGC